TCAAGATTTGTTTTTTCTTGCCAATGTTCTGATAGACATATTATATCAAAATTGAATTTGTTCAGAAAAAGATCAATTTCTTCAGTTTTATTTGATAGGCATTGTATATTTATATGAAATACACTCACCACATCGACCCCCTTCAATTCCTTAGATAAAATAAAATTTGTCAATTCTACATGAGACAATGAAACTGATGCGGTTTCCTCCTTTGTAGTGTTCGACAATTTTTTGGAATTCCATATAGATAGATAGATATATTTTCACCACATTACATATATAAATACATTTATGGCATGTCAATATATTAATAGATACAATATAAAGTACACAATGAATAAAATTATACAATAAAACATATGATATTTTGAAAGTGTTACAAACATAATCAAGTGAGGCATAAATAAATAGCGTAAACAGAATGGAATATTTCAGAGAAGTGATGTGTTGAGTGCATGACTCAGTTGCTTTGTTGTGACGAGAAACTCGTCTGTGGAATAAAAGCAGTGTTCAAGAATATATTTTTTTGTGCTTTTTTTGAACTGATCAAAAGATAGTGATTTGATTCTCTCCGGCAAGCAGTTATATAGATTGATATTCAGAGAATTATGTTGAGATTTGGTTAATCTATACTTGGAGTTTTTAATAAATTGGCATACCTAGTATTATGGGTATTATGGTCATGTATATCTGACTGGGTTTGTAACTGGTTGATATTTCTGTGTATTTCTAATAAGGAATTGTAGATATATAATGAAGGTAAAGGCATGATGCCAAACTTTATGAAGTGTGGGTGACAATGTTCTCTATATCTAACTCCAGCTAAAATTCTTACTGCTTTTTTTTGTTGTTGAAAGATGGTTATTGCACGAGTGGCATTTCCCCATAAAATTATTCCATAGTTTATCCGCGAATGAAACAGAGAGAAATACGTCATTGTTAGAGTATCAGGTTGAATTCCTTTTTTTAACTGCCTCAAGAGAAATAGAGTACTTGCTAATTTGTTACAGAGCTGTTCTATGTGATTCGATCATGTGAGTTTGTCATCAATAACAATTCTGAGTAGCTTGACAGTATTTCCCACTTGTAAGTTCATTCAACTTGAGTTTGTTTGCAGTAAACCAATTTTAGGCACGTTTTTCAATGTTATGAGAAGAAGAAGTGAGTTCCATAAGGTTTTTACCGGTACTCATCAAAGTAGTGTCGTCGGCGAATAGAACACTTTCATTGGGTAATAGGAAGTTGCATAGGTCATTTATATAAATGTCAAATAAGAATGGCCCAAGCACTGACCCCTGTGGGACACCATGTTTTATAGGTAGAAAGTCCGAGTTTCTTTTGTTAACAGTAACACATTGTTTTCTATTTTCTGAATTCGAACTGAATAACTTCAATGCTACCCCTCTAATACCGTAATATTTGAGTTGCAAACTGAGTATCTCATGAGAGACACAGTCAAAGGCCTTCGACAAGTCACAGAGTGTAATATCCGTGAGTACATCTTGTTCCAGACCCTCAACTAGGAGTTGAAGTAACACTCAAAAAATAAACTTAGTAAACTTTCTGATTTGATGTGTGTTTTGTAAATGAAAGTTATGTTCAGATGGGCTACAGCAGAATGCTATTACTTGTAGATTGAATGACGGTCTTCATAGTGATTTTAATGAGTTTCCCTTCATAGTTTCAATATCCGTTTCTGTAGAAATATGTCTGCCAACATTTCAAACATATTTTCAGGTCATCGAGGATCACATTCGAAGAGGAACCTGGCAACCACGTCATCATAGCTTGCATAAGGAGAGGTGTTATTGAAATCCCCACTTGGCCAAATAACTGCGTTTCGAAAGGCATCGACAAGACCGCGCAGCTAGTTTTGAACAAAACCGTAGAAAACTCTACTATTCTCATCCCGTATCCCGAAAGCGGTACTTGGTATGCGACTTTCAAGCTATTTTGTGGCGGATGCCAGCCATGCGAATGCCCCCAGTCTTGTCAGGCCCAGTACGAAGACTGTGCCACTAAGTGTGATCTGGACTGTGTCATTTCCGGAAACTGTGACTACTGTTCCACGAATTGTAGCAAACAGGTGATTGCGATCGAAAGTTGCAAAGGTTGTGATTGTGATGGGCCTTGCTTGAAGAATGAAACTGCCACGTGTAATACGAGCATTATCTTCGATATCAGTTCCCACCCTTGCATTTTTGGGCAGTGCTCCAGGAATGGGAAGTGTATATTCATGGTGTCTGATGGGGTTGTTTTCTCTACCTGCGTTTGCATAAATAAGTATCGAGGTGAGTAGTAATAATAATTATATTCACTTCCTACATTT